TTTTTTTTTTTTTTGTACCAGAGATTCAACAGGGGTGATTCACCACTGAGCCACATCTCTAGCCCCTCCTTTTTTAAACAGATGGACACAATATCTTTATTTTATTTATTTTTTATGTGGTGCTGAGAATTGAACCCAGTACCTCCCAAGTACGAGGCAAGTGCTCTACCACTGAGCTATAACCCCAGCCCAATTAGCCCCTTTTTATATTATTTATTAGTTTTTGGTGGACACAACATCTTTATTTTTATGTGGTGCTGAGGATTGAACCCAGCGCCCCACACATGCCAGGCAGGCACGCAACCGCTTGAGCCACATCCCCAGCCCCCCCCTTTTATATTATATTTAGAGACAGGGTCTAGCTGAGTTGCTTAGGGCTTCAGCTGAGACTAGTTTGAACTCAAAATCCTCCTGCCTCAGCCTCCCCAGCAGTTGGGATTACAGACATGCACCACCACACCCAGCCTAAAAACTGTTTTTCAGTTTCCTTATCTGTGAATCACCTATTTTGTAGGACAATGGAGAGATGAAAGAATTTATGTGCTTCTCCATGGGGTGGGCAGTAGTTTACACCTGTAATCTCAGCTACTCAGGAGGCTGAGAAAGGAGGAAGATTCCCAGTTCAAGGCCAGCCTCAGCAACTTAGCAAGGCCAGGTCTTAAAATTGATTTTCAAAAAGGGCCTCTGGGTTCAAACCCTAGTAACACATGCAAAAAGAATGTTTATGCTTCCTGTCTTGTCTTCCCACTCTTCCTCAAAGCCAAGCAATTCAATGTGGCTTCCAACTACTCTCAGCTCCCCAGTGATTTCCATGAACCTCAGCCCTCTCAACAGCAGCACTGCTGACCACCTCCCCCTTTTTGAAATGCTGTGTCCTTAGCTGCAGTGACACACACTTTGCAAATGTGTCTCTTATACTGGATGCTTATTTCAGACTCCCTTCATGAGCCTTTCTCCCCTACCTAAAGGACTGGGCCATGTTGACCCTGGGCCTTCATCTCCTCCCCTCTCCCTGAAACTCCTACTCCCACATCTTTTATTTGCCTCTCCCTCTCCAACCTCTCCAAGGTTTTTTCCTCAGGTTTGTACCTATTTCCAACTGTTTACTTGGGCCTACCCCCAGGAGACAGAACACCCAAGCTTTGAGGATCAGCTCTCCTTATCCACCGATTCTTTGAATTCATTCACTTGGACCTCCCAGTGAACAGATCTCCCCAAGTAACTACCCCTGCAGACACGGCCCCTCAGTCCTCACTCCACCATGTTATCTGCTAGAATTCAAGCTGCTCCCCAATGTCCACTCGGCTCACTGCCCTGGGTTATTGAGGTCTCTGCTCAAGTTGTCTTCTAAGACCACCCCTGACCACCCACTGAAGGACTGCACCTCAGCTTTCACCCCTCACCCCATTATCATACCTTTCCAAACACCTACTCATCCAGGTCACAAGTGAACAAGGGACCCTGGAGCGCAGAGGTTAAGAGCCTAACTCCAGTGCTGGCAGGACTAGGAGGATTTGAATCTCAAACACTAGTAGCTTTGTGATCCTGGACAGAATCCTTAAGGGGTTTTGTACTTGTTTCCTCATCTATAAAACAAGGATTATAATGCTACCTACCTGTCAGGGTTGCTTCATGGGTTAAATACTCACATGAAGCACTGGTTCACAGTAAGGCCAAAGCGTTCCTTGTTATCACTAGGAGGCCCACCCTGGTGCCCCAGGCTAAAACAGTCCCATTAACATACCACAGCACTTAGTGGTGCCCCCATTGAACTCTTACCCTAAGATTGCTCGCCCCATCCCTGACCTGGTGGTTCTAAAGGGCATTTCCTCTGTCTTGTTCATAGCTGGGCCCCCAGCACCTAGGGCAGTCCAAGCCCACAGCAGATGAAAACACATTACTTCCTTACTCCTTCCCTGAACTGGGCTGTTAGGTACACAGAAGGGCACAGATCTGGCCCCAGCTGCCTCCCAAGGAATTTGCTGTCTTTCAGCACAGATTGATAACTTAGGGCTTAGGTGGTATGAAACGCTGTCAAAGTTACCTAAAGACGAACTACAGAGATGTGTGATGTTGCAAGCTGAGCTCTTCCAACTCTTGGAAGTCAAATTGGTTCCAAATGGAAGTGCTTATCCCCAAGAGAGTTTAATGGGCGTACTACCCTGGCACACAGCCAGTGGTTTAGGAGCACTGCCAACTACTGGCTGTCCCACTGGATGGAGATAAGGTCACTTCAGTGAGGCTCACAGAACAAGCATCCATGGTGTTCCTGGGGAAGGAGGTAGGGGCAAGTTCTCCTGGGAGTCAAAAAGGAGAGTCCCAGGAGAGGTTTGACCTGGCAATCTTGAGACAGTTCAATGATTCATAAGCAGGAAGGACCATCCTAGATTTCTGATCCTACCAGGCAACCCAAAAAGAAAGAAGATGCAGATGTGTAGAGCTAGACTTTATGGAGAGCTGTGAGGAGAAGGCCCACGTGTCAGGTGCCTGTCTCTACCTCCACTACCTCTGCCCAGGCACTAAAGCCCATGTCCTTATGGATTAGCACCAGGTTGGGGCTAGGGTCCTGGCTCTCTGAAATGGTGACAACAACATCCCTGGCTGGAGATGCTTCACTTGGGCTGCGTGTGTCCAGCTCTGGCTCAGTCTGCAGGAGCACCATGGTGGGCTCTGAAGCAGCAGGAGGCATAGAGGGGGGATTGGAGGGTGGCCCAGAATGATGACTAAGCTGGTGCCGCTTGAGGCTTTGGGGGAGGGTGTAGCCCATGCCACAGGTGGGACAACGGTAGGGCTTGTCTGCCAGGTGGGATTTGAGGTGGCGCCGCAGTTTGGTGGCCAGTGTGTAAGCACGGCCACATTGGGGACATGGGAAGGGCCTCTCCCCTGAGTGCAGGCGCTCATGGGCACGAAGGGTATGCGGGTCTCGGAGGGCCTTTCCGCACACGGGGCAGAGGTGTGCCTCCCCAGTGTGGGAGATGAGGTGGCGCCGCAGTTCAGGCAGCTGGGGGAAGGCATCCGCACAGTGCGGGCAGCGATAGGGGCGTTCCCCGGTGTGCAGCCGCAAGTGCCCATGCAGGTTGCCCCGCTGTCGGAATGCCCGGCCACAGTGTGGGCACAGGAAGGGCTTTTCCCCTGTGTGGAGCCTCATGTGGTTCCGCAGAGAACCCTGATTGGCCAGGAGCCGCCCACAAACAGGGCATGGGCATGGGGCAGGGGCAGCTGGCACCTGGTGGGTCTTGCGATGCAGTCGCAGGGAGGGCCGGCGGGCGAAGGCTTTGCCACATTGGTCACACGCAAAGGGCCGGGCACCAGAATGTACCACCTGGTGTTCTCTGAGGTCTCGCCGGGTGCCATAGGCCTTGTCACACTGTGGACAGGGGAAGGGTCGCACGCCACGGTGGCCCAGCACGTGAGCTTTGAAGCTTTCCTCTGAACTGTAGCTCTTGCCACACTCTGTACACAGGAAGGGCTTGTGGCCTGTGTGCACGAAGGAGTGCTTCTTTAGGTGGCACAGTTGCAGGAATGCCTTTCCACACTCCCCACATCGGTACCGTCGCCCCTGCTTTGGGGCATTTCCAGCAGGGCCAGCAGGGCTCCATAAGAGTACAGGGAAATGCTGGGCCCGGGGCTCTGAGGTCTTTGCTCTGGGGGGGCACTGATCATTGGGGCCACATAACTTCTTGGCCAGGCAGGCATGTAGCTGGGTGCCCCTGGCAGAAGGTGATGAATTGGCTTCACAGTTCTCTGAGTCTACCTGGGCAGTGGAGCCTCTCTGAGATTCAGGTTCACTACTCTCTGTGCCCTGCTGGGTGGCCGAGCTGCTCTGAGTTTCAGGTGGCATCTGTGCCTGGAGCAGGCACTCCTCATCCACACTATCCACACTGCCATCCTGAAGCAACGGGCCAAGAGGTTGAGTATTCTTGGAAGGCTGATCCTGGGCTTTGGACTTAGGCTCAGAGTTCACCACATTCTCTATCTGGATGCTGTGCTGTGACTGGTGACCAAGATCTATAAAACAAGAGATGGAGTGCTGGAGTTAATTGAACTTGGTAGAAGGTGATATTGACAGGTAATTACAGGATATGTATTTTCTCCCAGCCCCCGAACCTCAGTGGGTTCAATCACACCAATCTCTTCTCTGAAACATGAGCTGTATGAACACTCTTTTCCTACCCAGTCTCAGGTGCCTCTGGGGAAGTACTCCTGGAAACCACAGCACCCTACCTATATAGTTAATCCCTAGAATATGGTCCTCTTGTTCTCCCCTGGGGACATACACTTAGACTGTGATCCAAGCCCCCAACCTCCCCACCTGAGCTCTTCTGTAAAACAAAAAGAATTCCTGCCTGCACCCCAGAGACAAGAAAATTATGAAACTGTAAACTTTGTATACAGCTTACTGTTTTCATCAATATGTCCTTATTATTCCAGGAAATTCTTAAGAAAGATAAAAATTATAAATATCTTTACTGTTCATTACAAGGAAAGATCTGTCACACTCCAACAGAAGTATCTGAAAATTCCCAATCCTAATCAAGCTCCACCTTCTCATCCCACACTGCAAGATCCACTTTAAACCATATTTTCCCTCCCTGCTTTACCACTGAGCCACATCCCCAGCCCTTTTTATTTTTTATTTTGAGCCAGGGTCTTGCTAAGTTACTTAGGGCCTTGCTAAATTGCTAAGGCTGGCCTTGAATTTGCAATCCTCCTGCTTCAGCCTCCCAAGTCGCTGGGATCATAGGCACTACTGGGCCTGCTTTAAACCATATTTTAAGACTACACAACTCTAGTATTCTCCTTACTACACTGAGCTATAAATTCTGCTTTGTCTTATCACAGGTTATTTTGATGAGAATGTGGAAGCAGGCATTTATGTGACCCATACCTGTGCAAGGGTCTGCTGCATCCTCTCCAGGGGAGGCCACTTGTTGTTGTAAATCAGACTCTTCTTCTGCCAGCACCTCCACAGGTGCCTCCTCCTCTAGCCTGGGCTGTGTGGGGCTTTGGCCATCTGAGGGAGGCCAGGGCCACAGTAGAAGTTCAAAGCCTGGCAGCACAACCCGGTACACCTGCAGGTGAAGCTTCTCGTTGATCTGAACTAGGGCCACGTTTCCCTCACTCTCCAGCCTGCCCCGCTGCACCAAACTGCAAAGCAGATCAAGAGCTAGCTCAGCAGATTCTTTTCAAGCCAACTTCCTTGACAGCCCCAGCTCTCAGGAAGGGTGAATCCCAGAGGACATGCCCTTGAAAAACACACTGGAAAATATCCTTGGGTAGGGGATTATAGATAGTCAGCTTCAGATTCCATCCCAAGCCTTTAAAAAAAGCCTCAAAGGAGCACATTCAGAATGTATGCTTCTGGGGCTGGGGATGTGGCTCAAGCAGTAGTGCGCTCGCCTGGCATGCGTGCGGCCCGGGTTCGATCCTCAGCACCACATACAAACAAAGATGTTGTGTCCGCCGAAAACTAAAAAAATAAAAATTCTCTCTAAAAAAAAAAAAAAAAAAAAAAAAAGAATGCATGCTTCTGTACTTACCTGGTCCAGCCTGAACTCTGCTCACAGGCACACACTGCCCCCCATGGGTCTAGTGACAGGTCCTAAAATTAACCAATAAAAGTCATTCTCACATGTATTTAAGGAAGCCAGGTTGGGGAGAGGAGGACCCAAACTGGATGAAACCTCTCCTGGGACAAATCTAAGATGAAGTTTCTGTAAAGTTAGCAGATTCTGGTGCTGCCTCTGCATCTAAGGGCTGATTCAGTTAATAAAGACCAAAGAGTATTTCCCTCCCAAGGGTGTGAAAAATTAGTAAAGTGAACACATTAATAGAGGAACATAATTTTTAAATAGTACTTATGGACTTAAACAATTTACTGCACTGCACTATTTCATCTAGTCTTCCAAATAATCCTGAAGAAAGCCACTGCTTTATTTTACAGATGAGTTAAAGGATGTATATAATTTGGCTAGCTAGGTGACAAGGTTGGGATAAATTCTAATAACCTTAGCTCTTGACCTTGGTTCACTGCTGACACTACACTAATTTGGCTTTTAACAACTTTACATACGTTGATTCCTTAACTACTATGGAGGGAGAGCTTTGCTGAGAAAGCACAAAACCATCTCCAACCGCTTAAAATACTCGCTTCTAACAAACCGGAGGGTCGAGGGGAAATGTCTAAATCTTCCCCCAATTTTCAGAGTCGCCTCATCCCTCATTACCTTCTGCTGTCGTTTCACTTCCTCGCCCTTCTCGGAGACAGCCTTTTCTTCCAGAAGGTCCCAGTGCAGTCCTGGCTGTAGGGGTTCACCGACACACCAGACCCCTAAACGCTGTTCCTGAGAGAGTGAGGGACCCACGGCCAAGCCCCGGGGAAGGCTCTTTAGAGCGAGAATGGCTCGGCTCCCCCAAGGCGGGCAGTCTTTGAGGCACTGAGCACAATCTTCGAATGGGCTCCATCCCGACTCCGGGTCCAGGCGCGGTTCCGGGGCTGCAGAGAGTCGGGAAAGCAATGAGGGAGCGGCCCATGCGGGCGTTGGGAACCATGCGGGAGGAAACTGCATGCTCAGCGAGGCCTCAGGAGTCGGGAGGGAGAAACAAGGGCTCTAAGGTGGCCCCTGAGAGGTTTGAAAGGGTTCGAGGACTCTTAAGCTCCGAGAGCCCCTGAGGACACCGGAGGAAGATCTCAGGCTCCAGAGGATTGGACTGACGAGGAAAGAGACGGGTATAGAATGCTGGAGCCATTTAGGCCAGGGCTGAAGGCCGCAGGCATGGCAAGTTACTCACCCGGCTGCAGAGTCTCCCCATTCAAGTGCGGCGCTTCCTCCTCCTCCATCCCAGATCAAAATACCTCCCTCCGCCGGAAGTGAGCGTCCTCATTTCAACTCCTCCCGGAAAAATTTCCTCTTAGGAAAGAATCTAGAGTCAGACCTCTTTGGTGCACAGGACCGGGAATTTGGGAGTAGTTGGAAGGAAAAACTCTGTCGGAGAACAATACGAACCTAGGGTTCTGGAGGCCCACCAGGGATTCGAGTATCTGCATAAGCGGAACTAATGCGTTCTATCACCCTCCTTGCGGAAACGGGGGAGTCACGAGTCGGACAGTTACGTTGTTCCTCCCCGAGGCAGGGATTTCCGCGGGCAGTGCGGGGAAGTGGACGGGGCTCCAGGGAACGCCATGTTTAGACCGGGCAGCGAACCGGAAGCTGGTTGGAGGTGTGGCGGAAGTGGTTGGGGAGTGAGGCTACCCGAAGGGGGCGGTTCCCGTTCCACAGCAGAGCCGGATGTTTGCCGAGCTTTGACAGGCGTGGCCGAGGGAGCAGTGCCCGAGCGCGGTAAGCTCCAGGGCTTGGGGTCACTCCGGGTGGGGTACAGGAAGAGAAAGACCTGGTCATCTGAAGGAATGGGATCCGGGTAGGGGAGACCCGAGCAGATCGAAGGAAAGGGAGAGGGGGTGGATTTGCGCCTGGGGCCCTGAGCTTTCTGCTGCGGAGATTGCCCTCACTTTGGCGCCTGCCGGGAGAAAATAGTCTCTTTCGCTGACTTTTCTTGCCCTACCCAGGGCAGAGGCCAAGCCAGATAGCTTTGAACAAGCCCGTGGGAGGGAGAAGTCTCCCAGATCCCATCTAACGAAGCATTAAGGATGAGAAATTTGGGGAGAAGTGTTCCACCCTGCCACTTATTCGGCCAGGCTTTTAGATCACTTTCTTAATTTGTGAAATGAGATTAATTACACTCAATCCTGGTTTTAAAAAACTCAGCGCAAATGTGATTGTAGTTTAGAGTCTTGTTATTGTAATGGTGTGGGATATGTGTTTTTGTAATTCTAGAGCCACAGCTAATAGGCCAATGCAGCACCAGAAAAAAAAAAACGATTTCAAGAGTCTATCTCTGGTCTGCATAAAGGAAAGATTAATGGAGAAGTTGTTCTTTTGAACCTTGAGAATCGCATAAATGAATTGAGGGATTGCCTTTCACCAAGAGTCTATCTCAGAGAACAATTAAAAATCTTGCCTCTTGGGCTGGGATTGTGGCTCCCAGGTAGAGCGCTTGCCTAGCATGCACGAGGCCCTGGGTTCCACCCTCAGCACCACATAAATGTAAAATAAAGATATTGGGTCCACCTAAAAACTAAAAAAAAAAAAAAAAAAAATTTAAATATTGCCTCTGTAAGTTGTATGACTTTTTTGCAATTTGCTTCTCACTTTCCTCAAACTGTAAAATGGGCCCAGTAAACAGGCTTGGTAGTACATGCTGGACCAGTGCTGTTTTGAAGTTAATTGCTTGTGTCCAATTCATGTCCCTCAACTGTATTAGTTTCCTTCTCCACTTAGGAAAAGAATTCACTTATTCTATAATTCACCTAATGATTGAGCACCTACCATTGCCAGGCATTATTATGAATAGGTTTTTTGTTTCTGTGGTACTGGGAATGAAAACCAGGGCCTTGTGCATGCTAGGCAGATGCTGTATCACTGAGCTGCATCCCAGCCTTTGAGTGAGTTCTTAAATAGTGATTCTCAGCGGGTTTGTGGACCCCTTAAATTTTCACGTAAGTCTACATACACCTGTTGACTATTTTTTAGGGAAAAAAGATCACAAATGACATCATTTTGGACAACCATTTCCCAAAAGTTAAAACAGGTACCTAAAGTGTTTCTCAGAGATTTGGGGAAAGTTATATGGTTGATCTGCTGTAAAGGAAAAATTGATCTCAAGAGTGGGAAGTATGGAATGGAATGGAACAGGACTTGCCATTGGTTGGTATCTTAGGCAGCCAGCATACATGATTTCCACTATTTTATCTTAGAATTTTCTTTCACTCACTGGCTTTCTTCACTCTCTTGCTGATTGTAGCTAAACTTCTGGGCTCAAAGAAGGCGACAGCTGTGTGTTAGAGGGGGACTAGGGAAGTTGGTATGGCAGGGAGGTGGGACCATTGTGATTACCTTTGAAAAAGGAGATTATGTGGGGAATTGAGGGAGGTCAAGTTTAGAAAAACTTGACAGAGGAGGAGTATATGGAAAAGAAGTGGAGTTCAAGTTCAGCCCCCTGTTAGATGTGTCCTCCTCTCTCCTTCACACATAGCTCAGTCCCTAACTGCTACTTCTAATCCTTCTGTTCACTTCGGCACAAGTTATTTCTTAGCACTGCAGAAGTATTTTCCTGGGAGGAGCTTTAGCTTCCACAGATGAGGACATTGAGGCCCAGGATTTTTGCAACTCGTTGGCTTAGACAGGACCATAACCCTGAATTCCATGTACTTGGCCCCATGCTTTTTCCATCACATGAAGCACCTACTGTATGCAGAAGGATTTCTCTGGGATATCTATTAGTGATGATGGACCCCCTGGTGCCTGGGCAGTGACAAGACAGAAAGGATGGAGAAAATGCTCAGGCCTAGAGGGTTTTGCTTTGGATTAGATTCTGTACCTCTTATTCAGCTGTAGGCCGCTGTTGGGAAGCAACCCACAGTCTCCTGGTTGAATGGGGGAGGAGCATGTAGAAGGATGGGGTGAATTGCTTCGAGACAGAAGATGGCCTACTTGGAGGGCTGAGGGTTGCAGAGAAGTAAGGGAGTTAGGCATTAGAGTGAAGGTTCTTAGTTCTCACTGAGAGGATGTGGATAAGGCCAGGGGAGAGGGAGAGAGAAAGGAAGAAGAGGACTTTCTGACCCTTTGATTCGGGAGCTTGAAACAGCTTTTTCCACTGACTCAGTGGTTGCCCTGGTAACGGGGTGGTTGTTGCTATGCTCAGGGAGCAGGCTCACCATCCAGAGTCCTTGGCTGTGAAATTTGCGGGAGGTTGTCATGTCGCCTTAGAGCCCAGCTTGTGGATCTCAGATGACAGCTCTCTCCTTCTTCCTACCCACCCCCAAGTCCTATCTGCTCTCCTTATCTGCCCTGCTGATTCTCTGACCATATATGTCATTTTCTGGGCTCCAGGAATGCAGCAGCCCTGAGAGCAGTCTCTTCTGGGGTTGGAAAAATGGATTGAATTAATACCCTCTCCCTCACCCATCTGGTGAGAGCAGGAGATGAATCCCGTATAACTGAGGACAGAGGATGTCACCACTATATGGCCAGGTCCCAGACGAGGAAACCTGGTTCAGTGTCCTCTTCTCCCTGCTTCCTACTTGTCTGTCGCTGACCTTACTTTAGCACTCCAGATATCACTAACCACTCCCTTTTCTATCTGTGCCCTTCAATCCTTAGAGTAGTCTGTCCACCTTTCCACCTTGAAAGTGGTATGCGAACCTTCCCACAGGTCTTAACATGGAGACCTGCAGATTTGTCTTTTGGGACTAGCCAGCAGATTCCATTCCTATTGCTGATTCCTGTCCTGGGGCAAAACTAGTTGGGCTGCTCAATCATGACCTTTTTTCTGGGACCCTGACATCTCTGGCTAACTCCTCAGGCCAGTGGGGAGGGGTGGAGAAGATAGGATCACAGCCATGCAAGGCCTTTGGAAATCCTTAGATTCCTTAGGTTCTTCTAACATCCACCAGTTGCTGGGACCCACGAGGCTTTTGTACTCCAGGAACCCTGAGGAGAAGGACAAGAACTCTGCCCTTTGCAGCTGGGACTGCACCCCCCGGCCAGTTGGGTGGTAGGCAGCTCAGGACCTGGCACAGATCTTCCTCTCTAGCTGAGGACCTGAGGGAAGGTACCAAGCTGTGCCATCCTCTGCCCAAGCTGCCTTTCCTGGCAACCTGCTCCATGGAACTCTTGGCAAGATGAGAAGTGTTGAGGAACAGGGATAAGGGAGCCAGGAGAGGGAAGAGGGGCCAGGAGGGCTTGCAAAAAATTACGGAAGGTGAAAAGAGGGGGTTACTGACCCTCCACCTTTTTAACTCTCCCAGCTCTGCCTTCAGGTTCTGCCACAAAGGACAGATTTTGCCATGGATCCGCTCTCAGAGCTGCAGGATGACCTGACCCTCGATGACACCAGCCAGGCTCTGAACCAACTGAAGTTGGCCTCCATTGATGAGAAGAACTGGCCCTCAGATGAAATGCCCGACTTTCCCAAGTCAGGTGGGCACCATCAGGTCTTGGGCAGCTATAGGCATGTTGGAGGGGAGACCTACTTCCTACTGAAGGGAGAGCCCAGGGGAGCAACCTGGGCAGACAGCCCCAGGATTGGGCCAGGAAAACAAGCCTTCCTGAGGAGAGGACCAGCAAGGGTGTATCAGAGAAAGCACTGTATCAGCCACCTGGATTTATACCCTGATTTTGTCCTTTTCTCAGATGACTCCAAAAGCAGCTCCCCGGAACCAGTCACACACTTGAAGTGGGATGACCCTTACTATGACATTGCCCGGCACCAGATTGTGGAGGTGGCAGGTGAGCACACCCAGCTCTGCACCTTTTTCCTCATGGTCTGTGCTCCTGGTTTAAAGAAGCTCACCCCTCACACCATAGGGGAGGGGTCTGGGGGGCATGCTGGTGTCTACCTATGGTTTGACCTAAGATCTTGGAGCTCCTCAGCACATGTACCTTTCTTTAAAAAGCACAGGCTTGATTGTGATTGCCTCTTGATACTTTCACCCTTCCCTGATCTATGGTTTTGTTGTTTCCATTTGAGATGATACATGGGAGGCAATATGGCCTTGTAACTTTGAAGTCAGAAAGTGCTGGGTTTGATCTCCAGCTCTGCTCTCTGAGCTCTTCCTCACTGGGTCATGAAATCATGAATCATTATCGGGCTTAGTGCTGAGCAAGAGCGTAGTCGGCCCTGAGTGAGTAGCCTTGCCTTTCCCCTTATTCCATTCATTCCATTCCCCATTTTTCCCCTTCCTTCCCCTTGGCCCTGAGGTCAACTTTTCTACCCAATCAGTTATTGGAGAGGAGGGGGTGTGTCAGTCCCTCTTGGGAAACCATACCTCTAAGGATGTCTGGAATGGACAGAGCTTCCTTCCAGAAGTTCAGAGTAACATAGCTCCTAGAGTATCAAGCTCCTGGCAGATGTGTACCCTGTTTTGAATGGACGGAGAGTCCGTTTTGGGTCTCTGCCTCAGGAACCTTCCTCCTTCCTGCTCATAAGGAGGACCCAGAAGAAACCTGGAGCAGGAGGTAGTGAGCCAACTGGCTCCTGTCCTCAGGATTCCACCGCCAGAAGAGGCAACCTTGAGGCTAGGCAGCTACAAG